GGGAAGAGCTGAACAAGCTGTTAGCGCGTCGCGGGCTGGAACCCGTGAGTCTCGCTGGCCCCCAGAGCTGCAGGGACGTGTCCGGTAAGGAAATGCTAATTTTACTTTGTTTTTTTTGTATTTGCAAGTAGTAAGCCTAAGTTCATAAGGCATCTCTAATGCCGTCACTTCTAAATGGTAGTAGAAGTGCGATCTTCTTCAGCTATTAAAAGCCCTTCGTTATGACTTTATGTATCTCCAGGTACGATCGTCTTAGACGGTCAGTCTTCTCTGGGAATAAGGCTCGTGTTAAAAACGCTGGTGGAAGACACCGACCGACAGCAGCGACTGATGCAGGGGCTCATGGAAGCTAATCGTTCTCTTAGGTAAGAGGTAGTGGAAGGAACTTGCTTGCTCATGCGAAGCAGAAGTACTATCAGTGCCTGTCTCCTGCCAGGTGGAGCTCCTGTCACAGCCGAGGCCTAAGACCTTTCTCCCGAGTTCTCTGTCCAGTATGCAGCAACGTTAGCCCAGTTCCTTTGGAGCGCTCAGCGTATTTCATCTGCTGCTGCTTCCCGTACCGGCCTGTTGCCCATACCGGCTGCCACAGGCTATTGCTGAGTGTCACCAGATGACGTTTGCCCGGCCTGTGCTTCCTTCACTGTATTTAGTGAAAGGAGGTTAACTGAAATCAAGGATTGATATTTTTTTTTTAGAGATGAGGTACGGATGGAACGAGGTCGGGCATCTCGACAAGAACAACGGGCTAATGATTTGGAAAATGTGGTGAAAAATATTAAGTCCAAAATTTGTCAGCTGGAGGATGAGACAATAGCTAAAGTTTGCCAGCAACAGAATCAAGTCAAAGAACTTCAAAAAGATCAACAGGCTTCACAGGTAATTCAGATAGGGCCATCTGAGGACTCAAACTTTTGACTTTTTTATAAAGCTCTAAAAATATTTACAGCGTTCAAAATAAATACGAGTCTTGGGTCATACCGTTAGTACACTACTTACAGCTAAGACTTTTCAATCTATACAGAATTTTCTAGCAATAACTTAGAAAAAAATCTGTATTCTTCTACTGCCTCTTCAGCACGGCTAAATAACAAGTACCAAGCTTCCCTGGGACCCGGTGCCTACTTGGGCATGTACAGTGCAGTCTGCAGCTTGCGGGTTAGAATAATTCTGTAGTGCTCCCGTTGTCTCTTCCCAGGCAAAATACCAACAGCAGCAGGAGAAGCTGCAAGAGCAGGAGGAGATTATTGCCCGTTTGCAGAAGGAGCTGTGCAAAGCTGGGATGGAGGAGCAGCGGCGTGTTGCCACCCAAAACAAAATGTTTTGTCGGTTTTGCAAAAGAGCTCCCAAGTCTCTTCTAGATCAGCCGTAAGCAATTTTCTTACATTGGTGAATAACCTGTAACATCAAATGAAGAAAAGGATTTTCAAGTAACTGTTCTCGATATTTACATGAAAAAAAAAAAAAGCTGGAGGCCTTAGGAGTGCAAGCGGAAATATGCATTCTTGTAAAGGTACATCAATGCAGTAATTTTTTCTTGTATAAAAAATGTGAGCAGGATAAATCCGTGGCAGAAATTTAAAAATTATCAGCCCCTGCATACACTAGGTGTCAGCAAAGAGAAGGGAATCATTCACTCTGCTGTGGAACTGCAGCATCTGCTGGGGTGATGATCTCATGCTGGGGTTCCAACATTTTAAAATGAAAATTAAAAAAATAACCAAAGGAAAAAAAACAACAAACACCACACCCCAACCTCTGCCCTCCAAAAAAACCTTTCCGTTTTTGGAAAGTGGTCTTTGCATCTGCTGACTGCTGGCTTGCTGTGAGGCTTCCCAGGTGCTTTGGGGAAGGTTCCGAAAGTATTCCAAGCCTGTGTCTCTTGCAGTAAGGTCTCCATAGTTTTGCTGTAATCAGAGATTTGCTAATTCTCAGGCCTCAGGTAGGCATCCCTTTACTGTGCTGATGTCACCTGGTTTTCTAGGCCTGGCTAGCAGTGTTTTCCTGGGAAGCACTTCACAGGGTTTGTGTATGTGCAGCCTTTTGCTCATGCCCTTGCTGTATGAGAGGAAGGATCATGGAGCTTGGTTCCCTGTGCGTTCTCATCTGTCTCTCCAAAACAGACCATCTCGGAGTGCTCAAGAGGAAAGGCAGTTTCTCAGCTGTTCAGTTTTTTTGTGGCTCTGTCTTTTGCAACCACTTACTTTGGGAGCACTTTTATTGTCACTGGAGATGGATGTTGTCGGGCGATGCGGGGCCTGTGCTCTCTGCCTCCCGCAGCGGTCGCTGGGCCCTGGCACTCGGGACTGTGCCCCGCTGTTAAGTTTGCTGGGTAAACGTCGTCACAAGATGAGGAGGCTGTCAGGAGGATTTAGCTTGCATCTCCTCTTGAATAATTTTGCTACTTTTAGACTAATACAGACTTCATGTCTCTGCTTTTCTGTTTTGAAGAACTGTGGCTGTGTGTGTTCTGGTATGAGAGAAAATGCAGTATTTGAAGCAGCCGCTTCTGATGTGCAGTGGAGTTCTGTAAGCCGGCCTCTTCCTGTGGGGCGGTCACAGCATCTTTCAGGCATGACTTTTTGGATAATATCTGAAATTCAAAATACCATTTTTCCTTTCTTCAGGTTCCTTTGTCTAATTGACTATTACGAATCTCAAATTAGTCAAATGAAAAAGGAGCTAAGGTAGGTCTCATCTAATGCCTCATGGTTTTACTGTTCTAAATTTTCTTAATCTTTACTGTTCTTCAACCTTGTAATGGTAAATATTCTTGTGTTCTAGATGTTACTAACATGTAAGAAACAGCAAAGGATTGTAATGGTCGTGGAAGTTGGTATTCATCTGGGGAATAACTGTCAGTCAGGCTAAGCAGCTGATCAGTCAGGAGGCCAGGACAGCTAGGAAATTGGGGGTATTTAGACACTTGAGCTATAATTTTATCTTTTTTTCCTTTTTTTTTTTTTTCCTTCCTTTCTGCTTTCGCCGTGGTTCACAGGCAGAATTGCTGCGTTAGCAGTGCTCAGTCAGCTGATCTCCCTAAACAAAAGGAATACCAGCTGTTCAACTCTGTTGCGGTGCCTACATGGTACAAAGCAACAACCAGATGCCCGAGACAATGCTATAATTTGAGATTATTATCTTGAAAACTTAAATGGGAATTGCTTGTACTGGAATTTCTCTTGAGGAGTAACTGCGCTTAATTAGTATATGAAACAGCTTCCCAGAAATAATATAGAAGAGCAGTGGATGTTAGGGCAGAATTTCTCTTCTACTTACTTTGCAGTTTATGGAAACTTTATTATCATATGTAACTGCTAACTAAGCAAACTTAGATCTTTGAGGTAATCGAATTACAGTAAGCTGAAACAATTTATTTTTCCCAATAGGCAATATAAAAAAGATGAAGACCAGGTACAGAGAGAAGAAAGAAGCAAGGAAGAATTCTTAAATCTAGATGCTACTCCTAATTACAGAGCACTGCTCACGGTATGGAACTGCTGAGAATAAGTCCGTGCAGATCTCTAAAACGGTTACCTTTCAAGAGCCACATAGAAACACATATGTGTTTGATTTCTATCCGCTTGTTCTTATCATGTCTTCTTAACTTGTAAACTCTGCGGGCAGGGTTCACTTTCTGCATGCAGAGACTCAGACTCAGTGAGTCGTCTTTGCTGGGGACTGCGTAGACCTCCTTAATCGCAGGTTCTCCACCTGTGGTCAAATGCAGCAGGCTGTGGTTCTTGGTCAACTCGTTCCTCATCCATGCTGTGTTGCTGTGTTGGCAAATGGGAACCCTTCTTCATATGTGCTTGCTTTAAATCGTTCCAGCTTGTTGATTATGGAATGAGTGAAATAAAAGGATTAACTCAGTCTATGTTGCAGTCTTTCCAGAAACAACTTACTGAAACAAAAGCCAGGAATGAACAGCTTTTGCTTGAAAATATAAATCTCAAGAAAGATTTGGAAATAAGGTGAGAAAGGAGAAGTATCATCCTTTGTAAGGGCACTTCAGCAGACTTTGCTTTACAAAGAAAGAAACCGAAAGCACCAACAACTGCAAAAAAGTAGCATGAAATCTGCCTTTAAAGCAATTCGTAGAAATAAGATATGGCAGCAACCGTCAACCTTCCCTCCTTACACTGTTAATGACAACAACTGCTAATGCTTAGTTTGCTGTTTATTGCTGTTGGCATGTAGAAATGTTGCAGAACTTCATTTCCAGAATGATGTTGCAGCGCTGGCAAAGCTTTTGTACTTTTTCGCTTGGCTGCGTTTTATAGCTACCTTCAAATGCAAGACATCTAATATGATACTTTTTCTTTCTAAAAGACCAACTGCACAGGAAATAAAACTTTACAAGCACCAGGTGAAGAAACTAGAGAAAACTTTAAAGAAAACTATCCAGTAAGTATATTTCTTCAGTAAATTTCATTAATCCTCTGACCTTCTGAAGGCAAAGGTACTCCGCAACCTGTAACATAGATAGTAGGTTATAAAGCATGTGCCTTACCACCATTCCTCAGAGCCTGGTTATGGGCAGCAGATACTGCTGTATCTCTGAAGACACCCCGTGAATCTCTGAAATGATGGCATGGGCTCCACATGGGGCACAGCAGTGTGTCTCTTTTATTTCATTTTGTCTTTCTGGATTTGAATGCTGTTGCAGGCAATATGGACAGGACCACACTCTGTTGTTTGCTGCTTCTGTGAGCTATAAAGAAAGCTGCTGGTTGCATTATGGATTATGAGTGAGAAAGTATGAGTTGGCAAAATGTTGCAGCTACTGAAGTTATGTCCATGTTGTTCTTAGACATTGACTTAGTTTTTTTTCTGAAACATTGCTAAGAAAACATATTGAAGGTATTTGAGATCCAGTATTGAGAAAGTGTTTTTATCTGTAATTGCACCTAATCATTTGTGCATGCATGTACTGAATGCTAAATATTTTATAGCCTGGAAAAGACATCACTTGAACTTTTCAAATGTTCAGTTCTTCATTTTACATCGTGTATATATTAATGGTCTCTTCTCTCATGCAGTGGGTGTGATTTAGGTGGTAGTGTTAGAGAAAGTTATCTTAGATTTGACAAAAAGTGTAGGGAGCTGTGTATATAGTAAGCCAGGAACGATCTTCAAGCAGAAGCAGATAAAGACTGTGAGCACGGAATTTGACCCTTTGGAGTAAAATTCTGTATTTTAAGTCTTCAGCCTTAGCAGAACCTCTGATAACAGAACAACTGTACATCTGGTGGTGTCCCTTCTAAATTCACACACAGTCTGGGATAACCTCAACCTGGAGACTGGAGATAAATAATATTATTTGCATTAGGTATTATATTCTTCAGCTAGTTCAGTGTGAGTGAATTCTATTGGCAGGCATCATAAAATGGAGATTGTGCTTTGTAGATGCAAGCATATGTGCTACATACCTGGTTCTTTTATCAAGTTGAAAGTAGTATCTCCTGCTAAGGCTACTTGTGGAACCCACTGTACGTATTGGCCCGCAGATCTTCGGGGAGTAGTACTGGAGATAGACTAGAAGAAAAGAAAGAACCTGAGAGTATCGCAGGAGTAGACCAGCTGCAGGCAGTTTGCCAGCAATACTTACAGGTATGCAAATTTTATCTGTACCCTGTGTGTCTAGCACTGTTACAATGAAATACAGTACACGAGTTTTGTTTAACTAGGTAAACTGAAGCGTGCTGTTTCGAATCTAAGAGTTCATGTGAAGTCCTTTACATCTGTAATGTTCTGGATTTCACAGTTACTGTAGGCTTATTCTTAACTGTTCTATCGTAGTGTAAACTACCTGAAAATACAGCAAGGAAGCGGAGACTAGGTTGGCAAACATCGAATCAAGGATTTAGCTGAAGTCTTTTCAGGACCAGGGATTTGTTCAAGGTCTTTGGCAAAACAGATCTTTATGTTACGGTTTTAAACATGCTTGAGGAGATAGTGGCTTTTAATTGTCTTTGAGGGGAGAGGAAAAAAAAACAAAAAGGCAAATATAACAAGACTTAGCAAAATGTAAACTGTGGAAGCAACAATGCCTCAAGTGGATAAATGTTAAATATCCCTCAAAGGGAATATATATGTATATTTGCATTACTGTAACCTATCTTCTAGCTAGTATATTTTTAAGTCTTTGAATCATTACATATTGAAATATGTATTCCAGTTCTCTGTCACCCTCAGAGTGAAGAAGTTCTTCCTCATGTTCAGACAGAACTTCCTCTGCTTCAGTTTGTGCCTGTTGGCCTGTGCCCTGTCGCTGGGCACCACTGACAAGAGCCTGGCCCCATCCTCCTGGCACCTGCCCTTAAGATATTTATAAGCGTTTATAAGATCCCCTCTCAGTTGTCTTATTGGAGCTATTTATGGTTTAATGTTGTAGACAATCATGACTGTGGTGGAGAGGGATTTTATTATAAAAACGTTGTTTGTGTTTGAGCAGTAACATTTGTTATTTGGTGTTGAAGGTGTTGTCCCATATTGATTCTATTTTGCGAAGTCCACGAGCTCCTCCGTTAATATACAGGCGCAGTAAAGGGCCAGCGCAAAATTGTATTAAAGAGAATGGACAGGAATGTGGGTTTGAGCACCTTCCGCTTACTATAGAAATGTGGGCAGATCAGCTAAGGGCCCTAAAGGTAACGTGACATTCTACTTGGCTTGATGTTCTTCCTTTAGTCTGCTGACCACCCCTTGGCCTCTCCCTACATGTAGGGCTTTTTTTTTTTTCTGTGTAGTTTTTTTTATTGCCTGACTTGGTGTTAAATTTTAAAAATAATCCTGCTGTCCATTTATATACCACTTTAAAACACAGTAGGATGAAAATGTGCAGTGTGACGACATGCCAGAGGTACTCCTCTGTGTATATTGCCTAAATGCTTTCATCCGCTGGCTGAGTCCCTAAGACGACCCTTAGGCTTTAGAGTGTGTGTGCTTCACACATCAATGATGATGCTTTCTCTTTCTTCCTTTTGTCTTGCCAGCACAGTAACTTTTTGATCTAAACACAAGTAAAGTAATTTTGTTCAAAACCAAACTCTTTGAGAGCAACACTTCTTATTTCACTGAAACTCTAACGTACGAAGTACTTTAATTTTTAGACTATCAGTGTTCTTTTTAAATCAAAGAATGTAAGTAACATACTGTGCTTAAATTCCATGAAAACTAAAACTTTACTGTCTTCCATACTGGAATGTTTTTGCCTACGAGAAATGGAAAATCTGCCGGTTTCTATAATAAAAACAACTTCCAGCAGTTGCTCAAGTAAGTTGTGTGCCTTCCCTTCTTTTAAAAGGATTTGCATAGGTCCTTGAGAAAACTGTCTCTGGAATTGGTGCCCTGGCACGCTGCGGATCCGCAGGAGAACAGAGAATCCATACGAGTTGAAGACCTCCAGTTCATAGTAGATGCAATTTTGGAAGAAATAGAAAACAAGGAAAAGGTAATTCTTACCAGGGGTTTATAGTCGCAAGTTACTGTGGAATTTTTAAATGCTTTCTTCACACGGTGATTAGATTTGCACATTTGAAAGCCTTGTGGGGTTTAAGAAATAGCTGTTTGAAGATATTCAATAGTCAAAGGCTATTTTAACATAATGGATAAACTCACCTTGGGGAAGACTGCTTTGATCAAAGTCATTTGACCAGCGATGAATTTGCATTGCCCTGTAGTCTGGGGCGTTGCCCTGTTCCGTCTGTTTCTCAGCCAGCGCTGAGAGCACACGAGCGTACTCACTGAGCAACACAGGAGGAAGCTTTCGAAAGAGTAGTTTTGGTTTGCTGGATATTTGTGTCTGCAAACTCTTTTTAAAATATGTCTTCAGATTTAAGAATATTGGAAACGCCGTGATTTAACAGGGGAAGTTACACCCGTTTTTCTTCACAGGCTAGTTTTAAGAATGTTTCATGCCTTAGAAGAATCCCTGATTTGTTAAGCGATAATGCTGACGAGTTACACTTTCTGTTTGCTGCAGACCAGCCAGACACCGTCCTTACCGACCCTGCTGGCGATAGTCTCTCACTTCCAGAAGCTGTTTGACGTGAATTCTCTGAATGGCGTTTATCCACGAATGAACGAGGTTTACACAAAGCTCGGGGAAATGACCAACGCCATGAGAAATCTCCACGAGCTCCTGGAGCTAGGTAAAGGCTTTACCACCTGGCGGTTGTTCAGGCCATTTCCAAAGGAAGAAGAATCATAGAATCATAGAAAGTTTTGGGTCGGAAGGGACCCCTAGAGGTCATCTAGTCCAACCCCCCTGCAGCAAGCAGGGACACCGCTAACTGGATCAGGTTGCTCAGAGCCCTGTCCAACCTGGTCTTGAATGTTTCCAGGGATGGGGCCTCCACTACCTCTCTGGGCAACCCGTTCCAGTGTTTCACCACCCTCATTGTAAAGAATTTCTTCCTTATATCCAGCCTAAACCTACCCTGTTTTAGTTTAAAACCATTACCCCTCGTCCTGTCACTGCTGTCTCTACTAAAAAGATTGTCCCCATCTTTCCTATAGGCTCCCTTTAAGCACTGAAAGGCTGCAATCAGGTCTCCCCACAGCCTTCTCTTCTCCAGGCTGAGCAAGCCCAACTCTCTCAGCCTGTCCTCATAGGAG